TTGCAATTCGACTAGCAACATCGTGGGCATCTCTTTACCTCATAAACTCTGGAGATGAACTGTGTTTATATGTGAAGACATTTATTGTACTATGAGAGACATGTGATCTCCTTGGGTGATGAGGCCTTCATCGACCAAGGCCTGCAACCCATATGCATTGATGATGCTATAGTTAACAATGATTTGCAATTGGACTAGCAATAAAGTTCCGATAAATTGACAAAGTTTCTTGATTATTATATCACTGATCATCATAGTTAATGAACTGTGTTTATATGTGAAGACATTTACTGTGCGATGAGACATGTGATCTACTTGGGTGATGAGGCCTTCATCGACCAAGGCTGAGACTCCCTCATCAACCCGGCACCACTGACCAACAGGAATCTATATACACATACAATTTCCCATTCATTCTAGACGAGCCTTAAGAGCGGTTTTTCCTTTCCTCACAACCGAAATCAGCTCCATGTCCTGTTCCACAATACCATGGGGTTTCCGGCTAGTCCCAGCAGTTGGGTTTGGGTGTGAATTGCGTCCATCTTGAAGAGTTGGCTGAGGCCACGCAATCCGGCACAGTTCAGGGAGGGAGAGGGATTTACACACTTTAGTGCAGGTGTGTTTTTGAATGAAATCCGTGATCATTTGTGATGATTTATCAGGGAGATGCCAATAGGAACTGAAATTCATGATGTGTCAGGTAAAATGATGATATTCACAGAGGAGATTAGAAATTTCCATACTTTTTGTTCAAATCCACAATTTGTGGTTTAGCTATTAGCGGAGGATTTCCCTTGAAGTTGGTAATCGTCATCTGACCTTTCGTGTGCGCATAGACCCAGTGTTGAAAAGAGTGTAGCAACAAGTCAATGGTCTTGGAGTGGTTACTGATATAGTAGTCTTTTGTGGCGGCGGACAAAAGGGTCGAATAACCTTCGATATGCTCTTCCATTATAAAGACGCGGGATGGCTCTTCTTCCGGATCGTGGGGACCATCTACGTAGTATGATTCAGGTGTGTCTTCTCGTGCAGGTAACATATCGTCGTCTTGCCCTTCGACATAAGGGTCACCAGATCTTCCACGATTCATGAAGTCATGATGGACTGGAAAGTTATCAACAATCTACCGAGAGAATTCAAAATTGGTATCATGATGCATCAAATAAAAAAGGATGAAATCTTACCCTAAGCTTTGCTGCCAATTGCCTTTGAGAGGTGCTGCAGTCATCAGACGATTTGACAGCGTGGGCAAACTGGGCCAAAAATTGCCTGGCGGCAGCGTATGAGCGCATTACGCAGTTGGGCCATATAGAATAGCTTTCTTTCGACAAGTCCTTCTTTTGAAGTTCGTACTCGGCCACCATTTGGAATACGGTCCCAGAATTGAGAATCTCCGCCGCAATGACCTTAGATCCAGGCTTGAGTTTGAAGCATTTTTTGTAATCCACCCGGTAAAGACAAATTCTCTGGACCATGATCAACCCATCCGCTTCCAGGTGGTACCGAACACCATCCACCCAGTCAGAGTCATCGGAACCTCGGTCCCAATATGAGGTTTCCAACGTCCCAAAGCGGTCCCATGAGAGATCATTTGGATTCAGGATTGCCTCAGCTCGCCCTAGTCACTCAATGTCAGCCAGCCTCACCGAGAGATATTGTCTTGAGGAAAAAACTTACAAGGTGGAGTGACCCGGATCACAACGATGCCATCCTCTTCCTTCATCTCTTTAGCCATTGAACAAGGTGGGTTTGGAAGTGGTATGTCGGGAGGTGATAGATTGACCGCAGTGGGTATCACCTTATTCTGAGTGAGTGGGCCAGGAATATTCTGACTGAGTTGTTTGGTAGAGTCGTCCATCGTGAACATCTGAGAGGACACGGCAGAGGCCGAACGTGTAACTATGGATGTTGAGCGGGTTACAACTGTTTTGGGTGATGGGAGACTAGAGTAAGACATCTCGCTCTCAGGAGTCGGCGACCTATTGGTGGACGGACGAGATTGGCTGGATCGGAGTTTGTGGCGGGCTGATTCGGCTTCCATTCCTAGTCGCTCCTCTTCATCTAGTGAAAATTTTTCAAAAGCATCCTGGTCGTATATAAGATCAATGACTTTCTCCCGCTTAAGAAAGTCGACAAATGAGTCATAATCTTCAACCGACCCCCCTTTCCGTGAGCCTAACCGACAGAAATCAAAATGTTCTTTGGCAAACATTGCCCTCTCGTCCGTGATTTTGGTCTTGAGTTCGACGAGATCACAGAATTTATTGCAAAGTGTGGTAAGCAAGCTCGTGAAAGAGGAGGGGTCGGCCCAGTTGACGAAATGGTTGGTCCGTAAGACACCTTGCTGCTGGGTCCATTTGCTTCTGTACCACATCTCGAAACCACACTGGACTGAGATCTTGTCGGGAGGGCTAGTTAATGGGAGAGCCCCCTTGCTGGTAGGAAGTTTTGGCGGTTTGGGAACTCTTGCAGCAGTGCGGGCGGCCCGTTGGGTGGGGTAGGGTTGGATGGCCGACATCCGTGCTGTGCGGGCCATCAGATATGGGTTGCTCCTGGATATTTCAGGGGCGGTAATGGCTGGTAATCCTGAACATCAGATGAAGTCGCGGAGAGGGTGGTTAGTTGTTGTAGGATCACATTATTGGTAAACAAAGTCACACACACCTGGATTGCTGGCACTGGGTGGAGGAAAGTGTGTTTGTTGCGGAAGCAAAGTGGGTGCAGGAGGCTGACTGAGGGGGCTGGGAATGACCGGGGTGGATGTTGGATGGGAATACAAGCCTCGAGCACGTTGGATTGCCTCTTGACGTTTAGATTGGATCAGTTGGTGTGCTGACGTTGGTTGAGAATTGGGTGTCGGGGAAATCATAGACGAGGGAGCGGTTGTCTTGCTTGCGGCACAATCGACACAGGCTTGACAGCATCCCAATAAAACCAGTTGCCCTGGTTTCCCACACTGCGAACAAAACATGTTTGACCCTTGGGCAAGATAAAGGATAAGTTGGGGGGTGACTTTGGGGCGATGAAATCAATGAGACTTACTTTGGGAGTGTGTGTGTGGATGGTGGGTGGATGCCAGGCCCTGGTGCTCTTTGATGGTATTGGCAGGTGGGGAATGGCCGATACTTGGATGAAAAAATTATTTGTGGGCGATGTGTGGGTCTGGGTCTGGGTGATTGTATGGATGTACTCAAATACATGTTGGTGGAAGGTTGCCATCACACATTGAGACTGTACACTTGTATTCTTCTGGCTGAAATGTCGTTTCGTAGGCACCTGTTTTTTGGTTATGAACTTTTTTGGCTAATGTGGATCTTCAGTGCCATGCATGGCGGCTCAGGGGCAATGATGGCGGCTCAGGGGCGTGAGTGGCCAACATGGCAGTTCAGATCATTTTTTAATTTGGCCACTCTGGTGGTACAGGAGCAATATTTGGCGGTTACTTGGCCAAAGTGGCGGTATATCACCATATTTTGATTTTTTTTGGCTATTGTGGCACGTCAGTGCCTCCATAATTTTGACTAACACTATTAAAATATGATTGACTAACACCATGATTATATAGTAAAATAGTAAAAAAGCATCAGCCCCAACCCAATCCACCAAATACCGGCCAGCAACTTCAATCATCTCTTCCATTTAACCACACAATCATGCACTCCAGGGAATCCTCTCAAGTCCAGCCACCACAATCCTGGGAACATTCCCAAGGCCATCTGTCACAGCAATCCCAACAAAATTGGGAATCAAACGGTTCTGATAGCCAATCTGTAAATCAAACCAAAAAATCTTGCTTTGTATCAGGCCAGTATCTCCATCATCAAATTAAAAAAAGAGGAGGCAAGCTTAAATGGGACCCTCAGTGAAAGTGCCATGTGGGCAGGTACAGACGGCAGCCTAGTCTCACAGAGATGCTTATACCTTATAACACCAAGTTGGCCTGAGCAAGTCAAGATTTTGAGGCTGTTTTCAATACTTTCTCCTTTGGATTATACATCTCTCTTTGAAAATTCAGGTGTACACATTTTGAGTTTTTGGTGTTCTCTGCTATCTTGCTGATTTTTTCTGCAATTTTACTTATTTGTATCTCATACCATTTTTTGAGAAAAAAAAAAGAAAAGGGAAATATTCATTTGGAAGGCAAACAATATGCTTATGCAGGTAAGTGTACTCAAGTCTATCAATCAAACTTCAAAGTTCAAATCATGAACTTGATTGTGAATTTTTTTACCAGAATCAAACAACTTTTTGCATTGAAAAAAATGGAAAAATCAGAATTATGTAAAATTGGGGATCTCTGATCTACTAGAAAGACAAAAAAATCACAGAAATGAAGCTGGGGTTGCGCAAACAAGGTATCACCAAAAGTGCAAATCCTGCTCATACAAGAAAATCATCTCAGCATGCAAGTTACACCAGCAAGCCTCCCATTGGTTGAACTTGTGCCAAGTTTGAGAAGGAGAGAAGTGGAATTCAACAATCTTCCTGAGCCATCATGACTATCCAGAATGATATGGTCAGTACAATTGAGACCAGCGGTGGGCAGATACGTTACGGTACGTTACAGCAGGGGATTTGGATAACGTAACTTTTTTTTAGTTATCCAAATCTGCTGTTTTTGTAAAGTAACTAAATTTGCTTGTAAAGTAAAGTAACGTAACCAATTTTATTTTTTCCATATATTTTTTTGGGGTAACGTAACTTACTTCGGGGGAGGGGTGTTATGAGAGGTTGAAGGGCTAAAACATATTGCATATAGCTTAACGGTCAAGGAGTGCCTCACATGTACAGTGAATATGTGGAGGTTGTGGGTTCAATCCTCACACCAGACATCTTTTGACCTGGCTTACTGGTGAAATGATAATCTCTGGTTGGTTTATGATCATATTGGGCGAATTATCTCGCACTTAATGAACAAAACCATCAATAATCAGTGTATCACCAGCAAAGTTACCCTTAAGTTATCCAAATATTGGAAATTCTGTAACGTAACCCTGTTTTGTTCAGAATTTCTGGGAACGTAACTAGAAAAAAAAGGGGCCTTTTGCTCCAGTCGATATCGTAACTGAAATAAAGATATCTGTAACTTGTGGTTAACGTAACTGTGAAGGTTACGTTACAGTCAATGTTATCCGTTTGGGGAACGTATCTGCCCATCGCTGTTGAGACCTACATCTAATTTAGATCTGGATACTCCTACCCCTAAGCATTGTCAGTTGTCTCCCCCAGAAAACCCTAATTGATTTGGTACATGGCACATCAATTGTCTTCAATGATTCTTCTCCCTCTCATCCAATTGTTGATTCCAGGGGTAACGTAAATGTGAATCCATCAGTGAATTCAAAGGTTACAGTTTTAAGTTGGACCAAATCTTCAATTCCTACATACTTGAGCACTGGCAACCTTTATTGATCTATCATCCACTCTGTTGTCAAGAGCTGTGTTAAGGATGGCTTTAATGCAGCTGTCTTTGTTTTTGGTCAAAATGGAAATGGTAAAATTTTGACCATGCTTGACTTGAGCATGAAATACTGGGGATGATTTGGCCAAGGGCCATAGCAGTGATTTCATTGCCTATGTCAGCTGGTTTGCTCCTCAACTAGCTCAACACTAGCTACTTGGTTTCAGAGTGAGGCAGGTGGGTTGAGCCACAAACTAAAATAAGGGCCAATGGTGTGCAGAAGATTCAAGAAGAATGGCAATTACAATCCCTTTGTTTGTTGAGTCTCAGGATGTAAACGGGTCGGGTTCGGGCCCAAAAACAGTGCCCAAACCCGACCCGACACCTATGTCGGGTTGGGTCGGGTCGGGTCAAACTTGAATATGTGCTGCCCAGACCCGAACCCGTCTTGGGACTTTTCGGGTTCGGGTCGGCAGTTTGCATGCCGGGTTCGGGCCGACCCGACTGTTTTAGCCTTTGTAGAGCAACTCTGACAAAAACTGACCTGCCCGACTATCAAAACACCTGCCCGAACCCGACCCGCTAAGCTTCCGGGTCGGGTTCGGGTCATGTGATTTTCTCACAAAGTCTGCCCAAACCCGACCCATGACCCGTCGGGTCTCGGGTCGGCTTCGGGTCGACCCGACCCATTTACACCCTGAGTTGAGTCCCTTCCACACATACGATATTGGAAATGAAGCAATGGATGTGCAGCTAAGAAGCAGAGCTACCTTGTAACTATTTCATGCATATTGCTCCTGTGCCCCCCTACCTTGGTTTTAAAATGGGGTTTAAAAGTACTTCAGGCAAATTTGCCCTATTATCATTAGACACGGCAGGCTTGACAATGATGCTTGCTTCTTCACTTGCCTCTCCGCTTAGAGGGGGTTGGGGGATAGGCTTATCAGATGAGAAGTGGGTCAGTGATAGGCAAGATGCAGGGCTACAAGCTGGTCCAAGCCAGTTTGTCGTATCTTTCCTGAATGAGGAGTAGTTGTTGGCATCTGTTTTTTTGGGTTCACCACTGAGATTGCCAACCGCGACGCGACGGTCAGCTGGATTATGTAAGCCACGAGGAAAATATTTCCATTCGCAGACTGAGCTTCACAGCAAAACATCCCATCATCAACCAACAACTGACTCAAGACGAGCAAGACCAGCAAGCATCCCTACCGCCCTCATCATGCCAACCAAATCAAACAAGAACTCGCTTCAGTACCAACTCTCCTTGGTCTCAGCACCCGAAGATTTTCCGCCCGAACTCAGTACACTCAGTACCCTTGACTCTACTCTTAGGTGTCCTGTCAGTAGTTGTTTTCTTTTTTTTCCCCTTCTTTTTGATATCACTTAATGCCGATTCCTAACTTATTTGTGTCCAATTCTTACAGGTCTGTAAAGATTTCTATCAAGCACCGGTCATAATCCATATCCAAAAATGCTGCCACACGTTCTGTTCAGCCTGCATCCGGACGTGTTTTAATAACAACTCAAATAACCATAAGATTGGCGCGACTGGATTGGGCGGCGTAGGAAACAGCCAGCGGTGTCCGATTTGTAAAGTGGAAGCACAAGAGGAGAAAATCAAACCGGTCCCGACTCTCGAATCTGCGGTAATCAGTTGGCAGGATGCCAGGGAAGAAATCTTCAGGATCATCGAACGTAGCCAATCTCTCGAATCTCAATTGAATGAACTGCGATCACTCTCTTCTTCTAGCTCAAAACCAATCATGGAGGAGGCGACTTCCAAACAGAAAAAAACCGCCCATACGTCCTCTCAACAACAATCTGGGAAAACCACCAGTCATCCTGAGCCAAAAACCAGGGCCCAAAAGGCCAAGCTATCTGCCAAGCGCAAGTCTCAAGATCGACCCACACAGGCAGACGACTCTGATGATGGCATCGAAGTCTTAGATCACAATCCTACCGATCGTAAGCATCTTTGTACATCCTACGCGGCGTCCTGGAAGAGGGAGCCATTATCCAGATAAAATCTAATCCTATTATAATCCCCAGCCTCGGCTCCAGTTAGATGTCCAATCTGCTCTACTCAGATGCTCAATGCGAAAATGGATTCACATCTCATATCCTGTCTCAACGAAAAGAATAGAAACCGCTCGCAGTCATCATCGGTACCAGCCAAGAAACTCAAGACCTCTCATCAACGAGGTACCCAGCCAGTTCAAAAAAGAATCCCACTCCCACACTTTGCGAGTATGAAAACTAAAGACATTAAAACGGAATTATCGAAGCATGACTTGAGATCGGATGGAACAAGCAGTATTCAGATGAGAAGACTGAGTAGATATATCACCTTGTTCAATGCCAACTTGGATGCTAATCCTTTGCACCAAAAGTCACTAGAATCCTTGAGGAAAGCATTGTACGAGTGGGAAAGTTTGCAAGACTCTGAGAACTTGAATTTAGACAAAAACCGACAGAAAATCTTCAGTAATCAGACTAATTATCTGAAATCCAATCATTCTCAATTTGCTCAGTTGATCGATCAAGCTTCTAAATCTTTAAAACCTCCGCCAAAGCCCGTCGACTCTCTGCCCTCTGATCCTTCTACATCCTCTCTAGCAGAGGCACACCCTCCTGAAACCGATTCCAGACCTAGTAAAGTCGTAGAATCCAACTCAAATGGGAATCACGTAGAACTTGACAATAATCATGAAAGCCCCATTCAAAAACACGTCGCACTAGAATCCCCAGATCTTGCTCCTCATCTCGAATCGGCACTTCAAGAGAACCATCGTCCTAGAATCGATTCGGACACCAACCCAGAAGACCGTCAAGATCCAAATGACACCGAATACTCGACTCAGAAGGCAGTTGATAACCCAGAGGATGATCATAATCCTCAACTTAATTCGAACGGTAACCTAGAAGATCGTCCAGATCCAAATCAATCGGAACCACAAGATAATCATCATCCTGAAAACGAGTCAAAAACAAGTCAAATTCCCCCCTCTAACTCAAATATTCATCCCCAGGAAGGTAGCCCAAGCACCAACAATCTTCGACAATCTAGCCTAAAACCTGGCGATCAGCTATCCTTTGCTCGTTCCCCTCCTTTGCCTCATCCGGAATCAACTCCAGAAGATCACAAGCTTCCTGAAAACTGATTCTAGTCCCCCCCCCCCCTTCCATTGAACTCGTACATGTGTATAACCCTGGTTCTAATTACCTAGACATCTAGTCACTACCCAAATAATTATGGATCTGATTTTAGTACTGTTCCATTTTTTCTACTTTTTTTAGGATTGTATTGAATGGATGTTTATACTTCAACTGCTGTACATCTCTTCATTTTTTACTTTCTTGGGATTTTTGGTTTTGGTTTATAATTGGATCAGTAAGTACATATGTTGTCACTCAATTTGATCAAGATTACCGCAGACATAAATTATAGCCCCCTTGGAAAAATCACATGGAAGTCTTGGACTCTGTTGTGATCAACCAAGACCTGCAGTTGAACTGGGGTTGAGTTCACGCTAAACTGGCTGTTGTCAATGTATAACGTGGCAAAATTCCAACAGCATGCCAGGAAATTGGCCTTACTTTCAAGGCAAAAATTTCTGCCTCCAGCTTTTCAAATAAACTAGTGTCTAAAGGCGGCTGCGCCGCCATCTATCAAATACAAACATTTCATTTATTGCCTTTACTCCACTACTTTACACAAACTCATCAAGATTCATGCATATTTTTAGGCCTGTCACCGGCAAAAATGACAGTTTTCCCCCCAAAGGTTAGTTTAGTCTTCATTAGATCTTTGAGACTTTGATCTACAGTCTTGATGGCATCCTTAGGTATTTCTACTGCCTTGTGTTAACAGATCAGCAGTCCATAAGTTCCCTGTTTTGTCTTTGTGCGAGAAATCACAATAAAAATCGGCTGAAAACTGGACCGGGATATTAAAGCAGGAATGGGCCATCTGACCCCCTGTCAATGATAGAGCTGCAACCCCGCCAATGCCACCACTATCACAGTCCAACTGTTTGAACTAAGAGAATTTATGATGAAATCCAGCAAGAAAGTTTTTCCAGTTCCTTCTGGTCCATCTAGATAATACAGCTTTAAATGACCAGAATGCACTCATGAGAAGTTATCATAAACCACATTGTAGAATTTAAGTTGAGCCGTGTTCAAGAGACCAAGAATTATTGCACAATCATTGCTCACGTCCCTTGCTTGGCACTCTCCACAATCTTGAGCATTGATAGAGATCAGAAAACATTCCTGTTCTGGATTTAATTGCAAGCTTACATCTTGTAAGATTTTTTCTAGTCAAAGTATAATGAAGCTTTGAAATTGTTCTGGCTTGGGATCTTCTAAGCAATACTGATTCCTCAGCATGTAGACCAATTCCTTGCCCATTTCCTTCCAATGTCTCTCAAACAAAGCCATGGGGGCAGCTGGTGGACTAAATAACAGTATTATTGCAAACACTAATCTAAGTTGAAAACCTTTTGAAGTGGGCTCCTTCAGTCAACACCTGATTGTATTGGCTGCTGTTGAGTAATAAGCCCAAGTCATCAGCTGTGTCCCAAAATTTGTAATGAACAATCCCATTGGCTGACTTCAGATTGACCCAAGATTGTATATTTTTACAATAAAGTAGGATGAGCCAAGTGTAGTAAATAGTCGGAACGTACCTTGGTTGCCCGTCACAAATTTAATCACAAACAGATTGAGTATATTGGTCAAGCATTGCGTTGGCGACTTCTGTTGAAAGACAAAAGAAACCTGTTATTTCATTGGTTGACGAGATGACTCTTAGAGGAGAGAAAGATCCTGACGGTGTATTTCATCCAGACTTTTAATTTGGAAAGCCTTCCACCAGGGTTCTTGGATCAACCCCTCTTTGGGTCCGTTGCAAGGGGAAGGTTGAGGAAGCGATTGAAGTTGACCGGATTTTTTTGATGTTATGTGGCTCTTGATGATTCCCCTCTTGGTCCGGATATGAGGGCGGAGATTCGGAGAGACAATGGGAGATGGCGAGGAGGAGGGCCAAGGCAGAAATGAGCTCAGGTTTGGCGACAAGACACAGCGGGGACATCAAGGAGTCATTGATGAACCCCCAGGCGGCCTGAGCGATCAACTTGGCTTTGGCCCAATCGGCCATTTTGGGAAGGAAACTCTGATGAAGAGGTGTACAGCAAGTTTTTGGCAGGGAGAGCAGAGGATGGGGTGTGTATATATTGTATATCGTATGGTTGATGTTACATTTGAAGAATCACTGATTGGGCCTGTTTGTTCATTATCATCCTTGTTGACGGAGAAGTATTTGCAAACCACAAACTCCAGCTTCCTAGGTACTTCCTCGACTTTGGTGGCCAGGAAGAGGGAGGTTGCGCTCATCATCTTGGGAGGATATCTCTGGAGTGGTTTCCTCATGTAGAACCAATGGACATAGGCCGCTGTGGTGGTGATGATAAGCTGTGCCAGCTGGAGAGTGATAGATATCCTGATGATCCAGTTCACCACCCAAGCCCGTAGATTGATCTCCTCCGACCATCCCATCCCTAGTTTACACGACGGGGTATCGTAGAGTGCCTGGGGTGTCCATAGCCATTAGTCGGTTCCTATTGAAGAGTCTCCAGCTGATATAAACAATTGATGCAACATAGTATAGCTAGATTTTTTTGTTCTGAATCTTTTCTCTGGTCTGTTTGGATGAGTGGCAGAATAATAGTCCACAGAGATAGTTATCGCGCAAAAGGAAATGAAAGCAGGAGATGGATTAGGTACAATGGCAAGAAGAGAAATACTTCATAAATATTTTATTATTAATTTTTGGATCTTGTTGCCTATTTCGAATATGTCTATGTGTTGAGAGGTGAACAGCACTTTATGGCCTGGGTGAAAGTTTGGCATCTTTAGAATCGGGGCAGTGTCAAAATGGTCAAAAAGGTGATGTCTTTGTTGAATGGATGAGGAAGGACAAGTCAAACAAGAAGTGAAAGAAAAGAGGGAGATTGAGAAGCGTGGAGGAAGAAGGATTGGAACAAAAGAATGAAAATATTATAAGAAGAGGGGGCAAAAAGTTGGAGTTTCCCCCAAACCCAGGGTCAGTAGGAGAATTAATGTCTCATGCAACATCGCTAGTAGCGGTACCTGTGGAACGAGACGGTTTGAGGTTTAATGTTAAACTTTTTAATTAGCCCATGAAAGCATCATACATGGCATCCTTGCAATGCATTATATCCTGAGTTCAACAATTTACATGTGCCTTATTAATGGTCCAGTATTGGGACCATTATTAAAAACTGGTACTTCCCCTCAAACCATATCATGACATGATTCCATTTTCTGGCAAAAAAATCCACCTCAATTTTTGGGGGATACAAGTAAGATCACATGGGACTGACTGGATTGCCAGCTGTTTGTGTAGATGGCGTCTCAATTGATTATCACCATAAATAATGTTGAGGACTTCCTTCTCAACAAGTAAATCCAGCCCGCAGGATGTGTTCCACTGGAGGGCCTGATGGATTGTGTGTCACTCCAATCTTGAAATGGGACGATGGGAGTGTCTGGTGGATCAGCATTTCAATCTTGCCTTGATCAAGGTTCACCAACCTAGGCCTTTATCTTACGAGGACGATCAACTCCAACCCCGACAGCAATAAGCCTATATGTAAAGCTGAAGGTCCGAAGCAAATCGAAAGGAACACGCGCCTTAAACACACCGGGCCTTCACCAGCCGCTGCCGCTAAGGCATTATCCCGAAGCTCGGGGTTCAGGGTTTTACCCCGCTCCCAAACCCCGGGGTTCAGGACTCGGGACATGCCCAACCAAAGCCCCGAAACCCCGGGGCTCTCAGTTATGGTGCAGAAAATTGGTTGCTCTCTTTTTTTTGCTTGTTTGAATGTGGATTACGACTTGAAAAGTATTTTTTTGTACTTTTTTGGTAGAAAAAAAAAAAAACTCAAAAAATCGAAACGAACCATCAAAAGTCTTGAAGTTGAACCGATTGTTCAAGTGCCGCAAGTTTTCAGCTGTTTTCAGCTTGAGAAATGGCTCCTAGCATTGCACAACGGCGCCGCCGGTGGAAAAACAGGTCCCAATGCCGCACTAGTAGCTGAGATCGATAGATATTGCCAAGCAAAAAAAAAATATATATATATAAATCAAAATCCCCGGGGCTTCAGGGTTTTACCCTGAAGCCCCGGGGCTCGTTCCTCGGGACGGCCCTCTAACCCCGTCCCGAACCCCGGGATAATGCCTTAGCTGCCGCTGCTGAGCCAACCCCGGGTGTGTCAATCGGCTTGTATCAGTGTATATATTCACAGAAGTGTCAAACTTTTGTGGAAAAATGGATACAGTCGGATGCAGTGTTTGTGACTATTACAATGTCATGACATCAAGATGCACTTTTCTGAGGCTTTCTCCCACCTGCCTGCGTGTTGCAAACCGGATTGCGTGAGACTTCCTGTTCCCGTACTAAACAATTTATCAAAAGACTTTGGCAACTTGAGGCATTTCGGGTGACACATGCCAAATGACAGAGAAAATCGCCATGCCTCAAGTGATATAAAACAAATTTGAAGAGAGCTTCATCGTCCGTTTCCTTTCCACTAATACCCAAAAGACCAAAAAACTGCCTCTTACGCGCACTTGACCTTGTGCTGTATTGCCCCGAAGTCATGACGGCTCTTTCTTCTGGTTTCGCCACTACAACATTCGTTTTACTGTTACTTTCTAATTGCCTGTTGCAAATAAGCGCCTGGAAATCACCCCACGACAAGACCCACTGGGATGCCACCCAAAACGAGCGTACCAAAGGACACGTGAAGCTCAAATATGCGAAGACGGGATACGCAAGCTACTCTGCTAGTAGTAGTACTAACTCCCAGTCGATGGTCGTATCTCGTCCTCCCAGCCTGAACCTCGGTTTTCCTCAACCACATCCGGGTAATCCCAATAATTTTCCAGTACCCCACCCTCCAGCATCACAGGATGGTGCAGGAGTACCCCCAATGGCCAAAACGTATGTCCACCCTGAATGCCCATTTGCAACTGCTCCTGCCAGCCTAACGATCTTCGATAATTAGCTTTGTAGATGAGCACAACAAAGTCAGAGATGTTTATGGAGTACCCCCGCTCACATGGAACTCACAACTGATCCCATCGGCTCAACGACTCGCTGCTGCTTGCGCCTTCAGACATACGGACAATAACCCTTACGGAGAGGTGATTTACCATTCAGTTCTTTTGGACCAGTTTGATCTGTGATTACTCAAGTGCTCGAAGTGGTTTATTTGTCTTCAAATCTGTTTCCGGCTATTTCGTTTGTAGAACATCGCTGCCGGCCAAAGCTCACCGGAAGAAGTTGTATCTCAGTGGGTTGAAGGACCGCAAGAAAAACTCGCATATAACCCCAATAATCCACAAGATTCTCATTTCACTCGTGAGGCCTGCATCGTAGTCTTCTTGCTTGTTTAATTCCCAGGATGATTTAATTGACATTTTAAACATTTATGATTGTTCCAGAGGTCGTGTGGGAGGAAACTCGGGAGCTAGGTTGCGCAGTTACGAGTTGTCCAAGGATGGTTGGAGTTTCATTGCCTCAATCTCCGATTCAATTTTGGGTATGCGAGTACCACCCGTAAGTCTGTTTCTTCGTGCCGATGGCTTGATTCCAACAGCGCGAATAGAAGACTGAATTCTTTTCCTCGTCCGCAGGGCTGGCAACGTTGAGACTCTGTATTTGAAAAACGTTCACGCTCAGGCTGGAGGTGCACCATCCCGCCGTTAAACCATCATCATTTGATCAGCGCTGCCTCAGCAGTTCTCCTTTCATTCAGTTCGAAGTCTCGGTTTAGCTTTTCGCGCGGATCAGATTATTCGACCATTTTTGCATACAAAATCTTCGTATCTAGTATTTTCCAATCTTTTCAAGCTCGTTCTCTTCAATCAATCATTAGGCCTTTCTAAATTTCGACTGCTGTACTCCATTCTTTTCTCTTTACTGCTTTTTCGACTTGTCCCAATCATTCCAAGCTCATTTCCTTGCGTGCAAGTTCATTCATCATTTTTGTGGCTATTCATTTCTGGCATGGTTCCCTTGAACCACAAGTGGCTCTGTTCTATAGTGCAAATTGCGTTTTGTCGACGGGAATGATTACCATTGAATATTGGTCAACATGGGTCTACTCTAAGTCAAGCCAGTTGCTCTTCCTTCTCCTATTTACATGCTACCCCCCCCCCCCCCCAAAGGGTATCTTCAAACATGGATAATTCATTCAACATCTTGCATAAGAGAAATGACAACATATTCCCTCTCATGTATAGAGCTCGTTGGGGAGAATGATTTGAAGGGAAGCTTGTTTTGATCAGTTGGCCAACTATTGCACCTCTCATGATTGGAGCACTTCCCGTCGTGATTTAGAGTGCTTTTTAGACCTCTCTTAGTCTTAAATTAAGAGCAAAATTAATATTCCAACCAGCTCACCTGAGAGCTATTGCCAGAAGGCTTCATAAAAAAGATTTTTTTTGATAAAAAATTTAGATCTAAGGGGTGTAGATTGCGACGGGAAGTCATCCATTGGAGGACTTCCCGTTGGAATCTGCGGGTCCCCCAGAACCGATCTAGAGCCTCAAAAACCAAATTCCCCTGCGAGAATCTAGAGTTTTTGAGTCTAGATTGACTTCTGCAAGTGCTCCAGTTCACATGGGAAGTCCTCCATTGGAGGACTTCCCGTCAACATCTGCGGGTCTCCCAGAGCTGGTTTAGAGGCTCAAAATTCAAATTTCTCTGCGAGAATCAAGAATTTTCGGGTCTAGACCAACTTCTGCGAGGGCCCCAGATCCGACGGGAAGTCCTCCATTGTTTCACAAAATCCAATTTATCTGGTTTTGATGACACACTGAAAGGTTCTCTGGTCTGATTTTTTCCCTTAAAATGTGTAATTGTGCCTCAACTATCTGATCACCATCAACTTCCTGTATTCTTCTGACGTTTCCTCGGCCACAGCCTGTCACCAAATGCTTTGAACTTACCTGGGCACCTTGGGCCATGCCATGCCAGCTTTACTTGATTACTTACCCTGCCCAATGACACATCTACTCTAGGCCTTATAATGCTACTGTTTTATAATTGCACATTGTATTCCAGTGTATTTTGAAATCCTATTGAAACTTCTTTCTGATTTCTTTTTCATTTCTTTTCTATTTTCAAATGGTTTTTGAATAGAAAACCCAAAAATTCAAAGTATTGGTTTATAATTGGGGTCTGAGATGTGGTTGATAATAATTATAAATATAATAATAATAATAATAATAATAATAATAATAATAATAATAATAATAATAATAATTGATTGGCCCACCAGAGGCCTCTACAACCAGGTGCATTTGGCCTGTCTTCTTGGCAGTTTTGACTGTTCCACAAGTTGGAGCCTGGTGGGACACTTGAAATGTGTCAATGGCTGAGATTGTTGTTTGTCCAGAGCCAACAGTTTCAGCCCCTTGCCCATGCAACATTGTGGCTTCAACCATGCCAGCAATGTGAGTTTTCAGGTTGGTTGTGAGGTTGGGGTTTCTGCACAAACATCCCATTGAGCCTCCTGGTCACCAAGAACAAAAAGGAAACAACTTAGAAAGAAAAGGAAGAAGAGAAGCAAAAGAAAAGAAAAAGATAGAGGAGAAAGAAAACAACTGACAGATGGTGTTCCAAGTATTGATAGCAGTCCAAATGTTGATAGGACTTGGTTATGGCTGGATGACTCTATCAAACATGAACTGATGAGTTGCAGTCAACCTGCACCCTGTATCTTAGTGTGTGGGTGCAATTGAGGTTTACCCCCGGACATAAACATGTGGGAGGGTACTGCACATTGTTCTGGTCCACCCCTTTGAAGTCTCAGGGAAGTACCACCAAATTATATCAACAAACTGACCTCAGATTGCATTGAGGTTTGAATGAAGCTTGCTGCATGGCAACTGGTAGCAGTTGCTTAAATTTTTCCTGTAGTGAGGGGGGTGGGGGGGGGGGTGCAGGGAGTTGATTTCTTTTTTGGCAAACTCATACCTTTCCGAGAGTATGTATAATTATGCGGCCAAATTCTAGGATTTTACCGCTTTCAAATAGGTTCACAAACCTAAAACAGCCTCTATCATGAATACCATCTTAGCAAAAATCATCAATTCATACCTATTTTAAGAGTATGATTTTGGCATTTTAAGCACCCACCTATGAGGGGGCTTTCTGAACCGTGGATTGTGGGTCCCACCCTTAATCATGATTGATGGTAAAAGTAATGATAAGAAGAATTCACAAATATACGTATAACTAAAAAAATAGGCTGAGCAAGATGAAACAACACGCCTCAACATCCAATCCACATTTGTTGATGTTAGACTAAGACATATTAGTTGCCCAACTAACTCAAGCAAGGTCATCCTATGAGTTAAACCCACCCAAGATTGGGTTTGATCAAAAGTCCCTAAAATTAATTGGGGGCAAATACTAGTAGGATATATAAACAATATAAATTTGAAAATTACATACTATTGGCACATAACTGCTTACACACAACAATGGGCCAGTTATGCTTGTTATTTTCTGGCATAGCATAGCAGAATCCCACTATATCTGTGCTAACCCAACATGTGTGGGGCCTCAAAATCCACCCACTATGCTTGGCCACAATAAAATTTGATGATTGTAAAAGAGCAGCTTACTCAAAAATATCTCTTTGGCCAAAAAAAAAAAAAAATCCTAGTGAAGAGTTGGAAGGAAGAGCAGGGGAAAAGAAGTGGAATGAAAGATTATCATCCCATTCAAGAGTTGATCACCAAACTTAATTGTTTCCAGTCAAATTCAAACCAGTTTGAATTAATCACTGCTAAGCAATATAAAAGTGCCTCTTCTTAATGATGAAGCATGGCTTCATTTGAGAATCAAACACAATAGGTAGATGATCCCCTTGACCTATAACTACTTGACCTCTTCTTAAAAGGCTCATGTCAGAGATTTTGTGAAATAATGGTATTGTATGAGCAAGAAAAAAAAAGGGACAAGAGAAGAGAGACAAGTATGTAAACAAAAATCTCAACAGCAACGGAGAGAAATCAATTAACAAGAACGATCGGGTTTCTCTTCTTTATTTAAGTTTTTATTGAATAACAAGATGATTTTGTTTTTTTGTTTTTGATAGAGACATGTGGAAGGGGGAGCGAGAGGGAGGCAATACTTGGTGATCAATGAGGAGGTCTGGGAGATACTCGGATGTTTGTGAGTGATACATTTAGAGCATGAATGAAAGTGGGTTTTCCATGTAACCCTTGAATGCTTTCAGCCTGTAAGTTTTTTTTGATGGAGGAGGTAATCCAATGAGGCGGTCAGAAAAAAAAAATAAGTCAGTTATATGCATGGTCAAATGTTTCAGATGATTTAGGTGAGCATTAAAACTTGCCATCTAGCTCCAACAGCCCCATCAACAACACGATGATCACAGCTTAAAGTGACCTTCATGACCTCGATCTCTTTGAATCCTTTCCCGGCAGGATCCTCGTCGATCGCCAACTTCTTCTCGGCCCCACCGACAGCCAAGATGCAAGATTGAGGGGAATTGATGATCGCCGTGAAGTGGCTGACGGAGCCGAACATCCCTAAATTCGAGACGGTGAAGGTCCCGCCTTGGTATTCTGGTGGGGTTAACTGGTTGTTCTTCGCCTTCGTTGCCAAGGCTTTGATTTCCGCTGAAATCGAACCTAAACCTCGACTTCCTACGTTCGTCACAATTGGTGTGATCAGACCGGTTGGTGTGGCAACTGCCACTGAAATGTCTACGTGATGGTTTCTATCGAGGTTCAAGTTCAAGTTTGTACAGGCCAAATCATTAGTCGAAATTCGGAAAATCGTATGTCAAAGGAAAATGGATGGAGATCAAGGTTACAGTAACTCAACTGTCTAACGAAGTCTTCTTGCCAGCTCGAGTTCACTTCGGGGACGTCTGCACAGGCCAAGGCAGAGGCCTTGATGACGAAGTCATTGACACTCAATTTAGTGGGTGCCTTCAGTCCACCAGCTTTTGAAGAAGCAGCTCGTTCCTCGGCAGCCTTGTTAAAGAGCGCCCGGAGACGGTTGACCCGATCCATCTGAATCTCGGATGTCAAGTAGTAGTGAGGTACGTCACGCTTGCTGGCGCCCAACCGATTGGCAATCGTCCTTCTCATGTTGGATACCGGGAGGTCTTCATAGGGAGCACCGGAAGCCGAGGCGGAAGAGGCGGTTGAAGCTCCTCCAGCTTTCGAGTACGAGGTTAGGTCGGATTCGAGGATGCGTCCGTTGGGCCCGGATCCCTTGATTGAAGCCAATGGAATCCCCTTTTCAAGTGCGATGCGCTTGGCGGCTGGGGTGGCGAAAATCGCAGACCGTGGAGCGGACTGGGTGGATGGTTTGGAGGAGGGGGAGCTTGATGAAGATGGAGGGCTGGATGACTTGGAGCTCTCCTTGGCAGGTTCTGGTTTGGAGGATTTGGGCTCGGAGGGTTCTTTGCTGGTTGGTGCTGCCGAGGCTTCGCTTTCCGAGATCAATTTTTCTAATTCGCTACTGCTAACCTCTTCCCCTTCCTCGGCAAAGATTGCAATCGCTTTTCCGACTGGAACCGCTTTTGATCCATCGGCCATCTAAAACACAAGTCAGTTACTTTTTTTTTCATCCGGAATAATCTGAATTTAGAGTACTAACAATGATCTTGGCCATTTTTCCATCGTCCTGGGCTTCCACATCCATGGTAGCTTTATCAGTTTCCTATCAAATGATTTGTGTAAAATGTTGGGTTTGATATCAAAGATGATTGATTGCATGGAAATCAGTTCCTATTTCCAGATGAATGATGAAGACGCCGGGGAGAAATTATGAGAGATGCATGTTACTGACTATCTCAAGTAAGACATCCCCAACCGCAAAGCTTTCTCCCTCTTTCTTCTTCCAACTTGCGATTCCACCCTCAGTCATCGTGGGGGACATGGCGGGCATTGAGAACTTGCTGAGTGCATAAGCCTGTGCCGAGCTGTGGATTTCTGGAGAGGAGAAGATGGTGAGATAAGTTTCAATCAAATAGCAGAACGGAAGAGGTAAAAAAAAAACAGGCGGCTTACGGCGAGTGGAGGCTGTTGACCGCCTGAGAAGTGAAGCTGATAAGGCATGACGAGAGAGGACACCGAGCATGATGACTGGCGAGCTGTTTGTTTGTATTGGTTCGAGAGTGGAGGAGAGAAGTAGTTGAGACCGAGAAGGTATACTCTGGTATCTGGCTGCTTCAACGGGAATTTCCTCGATCGATGGTGGCTGGTCACAACTTGGCAGTGGTTGGAGGACCCTGGAGTGTGGTTCTCCTGCTATGGATTAATCTACGTCACACTCTAAGTCCATAGCACATTCGAATTAAATCTGGTTTCTGACTGTCCCGAAGGCCCTGGCTGATACTCGGCCCTAAACTCGGCTAACTGGACTATGGACTTACAGGAGTCACCCTGAACTTCCCACTCCTCTATCAAAACATCTCCGCACCCTGGTCAACCCACACAATCTTCGACGGGAAGCAAAGAGCCTGGTCATTCTTGCAAACATACAGTACATATGCCACAAATCCCAGTCGAGGACTCGAGCTGCATCAGAGATTGCAAGCAGTTTGTCGGGTATGTCTCGCTGAGTTTGATTAGGTTGGGGTTCTGTGTGGACAAACCTAGGAACCCCTCTCCCGGAAACCACCGGTGACATGCAGTCCCTTACCCCATCGTTATAGCTCATGATGAACAACTCAACAGGAGCTCACTGCCCCTCACTAAGAGCCCCGCAGTTGACCTATGATGGATCCTTGAAAAGTGAACAGTTCATGGTAAACTGACTACTCATGACATTCATCCATCTCGATAGACCTTGCTCTCTTGGCATGTTGTAACACCACCTAACAATATTATACACTCCATAAGATGTGCCTTGATGAATTATCAGATCTACAATAGGGAATCCTAAACAACAAAATTAGCAGCTTCAATATGATAATATCTTGTTTTTGTTGGAAACAAAGAGCATTTTATCCTTCTTTTCACTTCTATTAACTGAATAAAATTCCTATCGGGAATAGAGAAGCTTCAGTTTATGTGCCAAAAATGTCGGTTTTGCATCAATGAATCAAATTTTAGGGTAAATCTTAGTCTTTCATAATTAGAAATCAAGGTTCAAAAAAGGTCGGTGATTTGAAAGAAGTTTCACCATTCTATTTGAAGACTCAATGTCAAAAAGATGCTGATAAATTGTTCTTCAATTTTTGTTTGGTGAATGTCATAAGGCATGTTTTCTGAGGAAGATTTCAAGCTTTGCTTAGCATACATATCAGGTGGCTTTGCTGGAACTGATCTGATGTGAATAGAATGAATTCATCTCTAATTGAAGCAGATTCGGCTGAGAAATTTGGCAGCATTCAGGAATTGTAGTGGTTTCCAGGCAGTTGACCAAGGCACAAATGGAGATGAGAGATCTTTCTCCAAGCTCTATCATTCAATACCGATATCACACTGGGAGACTGGGACAGATACACTGAGGGAGGCAATAATTATGTGGCACAGTGTAGTGAAATTATCCTAAAATTTAGTGTAGTGCAGCAGAATTCTGCCCCATCTGTGCTAACACTACATACTACACTGCTCTAAATCACTGGTTGGTGGATGTTTGGCCCTGCAACATGCCATAGAAGAAAGCCGCTAATAGGGTCATTAAAACTACACAATTTGCAAGGAAAAAAGATAGCATAGTGACCCTGTCAACCTTACAGACACTCTGGTGTGTCCAAAAGGTCTCAAAACCAGTGTACAAAATGCACTGTAATATTGGGATTGTTAGTTAGAAGTAGATGTGCATAATGAATTATTTGAAATGACACAGTTTTAGTTAGATGATAAATGAGAAACATAATTTGACAGGATTGTTTGAAATACTAACTAAGTGAAGTAAGCAACATGTAACCCAGAATCAATACAAATAGAAACTATGTTCATGTATGATTACAATGCTTGATTATAGAGTTCACATGAAAATGGATGTCCAGCTTGGATATAAAAACTACTTCATGTTGGATTGAATCCTTCTCCCTCGGAAAAAGAACCAATCAAAATATCATATCTTATTTTTGAAATAATCATTCAAAACAGTAGTAAGACTTTACTTACTTAGATAAACTCAGCAATGGTATTTATATACCCTTGAGGTCTTTATTTATCTAATAATTTTATTACATTTGGACTAGTATTCCTAAATAAGATATGGTTGAGATTGAATCTGATAACCTTACCTTCTTACTAAGATACTGAAAGCCCCTAATCAATCAAGTTAATGTCTCTACACTATCATCAGACTCATAAAGAATCAGTAGTATTAAACTGAAATAGAATCTATAACAAATGATAATAAAAAGAATTAATATAACTGGGTTTGATGTTAATAACCCGATCAAGTCTCTTGACCAATGAAAAATCATCACGATCACATCTATCTGATTGCATCCTATTCCTACCTTTAGGAATAGAGGCCTAGGCGTTTGTGTGCCGGCTTAACCATATTCTTAACAATAGAATTCAAACAAGTTAAATAAAAGAAACAACTTTTTATCATTCTTTTCATCTTTCCCTTCCTCTTGTATTTAGTTTTTTATCTTTCAAATAGTAACACATTTATTACTACCCCCAATCTTGTCCAGCCAGACCTCTACGCGAGATCAACAGCTGACAGACCCAGTGCTGCTGACATCAAAAGGTAGATAAATTTCATCAAAACTGTGGCACACAAACAACAATGGAGAGACCATACATTTGGCCAAAATATCCAGTGCATGGAGTTCTTGAGTAAATGGGGCTCCTTCATGACTCATTCTCAAGTCAGCATTCATATGTAAACACACAGAATCTAAAATTAGAGATGGTCAATGGATATCCGTTATCCGCTGGCGGATACCTGTCGGTGCCAGCGGATACCCGCCAGCGGGTGCGGATGTCCTTTTCTGCCCCAAATCATGGTGGATATCCGGTGTGGAAAGTAAGGCGCGCCCTAGGGTATTTCTTGTACTTCTCCGCTCCGCAACGCGTCTTACTCCGATTTGTTGTCCGGGGTAACTTGCTTGATGGTCTTGTAGGTAGGTAAAATAACTCTCTTTTATTGTTCTTTGGTAGGTAATACTCTAACTCTAATCTATCTCTAACAATTCTTTAGGCTAATACACGATTCACTCCTAAGTCACTCTGTTCTTTTTTTTTTTCTGATATGTTCTCAGTCCCCCCTCTCTTCCCTCTCTCCCCCCTCTTCCTCAGTTTCTCACACTCCAGTCCCTTCCTACTTCCCGCGCTGTCATCCGCTGTCACCCCCTCGGACTCCGCGTGTCACCCCTCCGACGCCTGTCGGTCCAGGTACTCCTCCGGCCGCTCCTAAGTCAGGTCTCCCACCGCCGCTTCCGCCTCTGGTCCGCTCCGAACCCCGCTTCCGCCCCTCGGTGCTCCCCGCTCCTTGTAGCCCCTCCGCAGTATACCCTGAACCCCCGTTCCGCAGTCGGCCGTGATCCCCGGCGTCCGCCGATGCCCGGACTCCCCGCAGTAAGCTTTTCAGAACCTTGTGCATTTGGTTTACTTTTCTCCGCTTTCCCGCGCCTCGGAAAGCTAGACTTTCCACTAATGCGCCGCCGCTTTCCTCAGCCTGCCTGTGTAGCGTCAGCTCCGCGTGCTTTCCGCATCAGCGCCGCGAGCATTCCGCATGCCCCAAACAAACCGGCCAAAGCTTTGGCCAAGGCGCGCTCCCGCCACCACACCGGGTATCCCAAGGGATACCCGGTGCCAAGAGGTAAAGAAATGTTTTTTTTTCAAAAAAAGGAGAAAAACCAACTGGCCCCCCTTCCATGTTGCCGGGAGGAATCCCTCCCGGCGAGCTGGTACACAATCCAGCTCGCCGGGGAGGGATTCCACCCGGCGAGCTGGTACACAGACCATCTCGTGGGGAGGAATCCCTCCCGACAAGCTGGTACACAGACTATCTTGTGGGGAGGAATCCCTCCCGACAAGCTGATGTACATAGCAGCTTGTCGGGAGGGACTCCCCCCGACGAGCTGGATTTTATTTAAAATCTAGCTTGCCCGGAGGAACCCCTCCCGACGAGCTGGTTTAAAATCCAGCTCGTCGGGAGGAACCCCTCCCGACGCGCTGATGTACATAGCAGCTCGTCGGGAGGGACTCCTCCCAACAAGCTGGTTTAAAATCTAGCTCGCCGGGAGGAACCCCTCCCAAAGAGCTGGTTTAAAATCCAGCTCGTCGGGAGGGGTTTCTCCCGACGGTGTGGCGTTGCCCCTCTAGGCTGAGGGGGGCAGGGTTTTTTTTCTTTACATTTTTTGCAAAAAATCTCCCTCGCCCGCGTTTGCCCACCAGTAAAGGGCGGGTATCCGCAGATATCCGCGCGGATACCCGCTAGCGGATGCGGATGCCTGTTTCCGCTGAAATTGTCAGCGGATATCTGGATTTCAATTGACCATCTCTATCTAAAATTCAGGGGTAGTTTTCCCAGGTGTAGTGGAAGGTGATTGGCCTATTTTATTTACAGTTTAACATTTTCTTCAAAGAATTCCAAGCATCACATTGACTTATTGGTGAAATTTACAAGCTTTGAAACCATTATATCACCCAAATTAAACAAAAGTGAATTTAAATTTTTAGAATCACTTCCTACTGTTCAATTGATTTTTTTATTCAACTTTTGAGTATTTAATATTCCAATCATTTTTTTTAGAATTTCCAACATTGTCTGACCAAAAAATTTCTCTGAATGATGGGTAGTTTTGTTGTTCAATTCAAAATTCAATTCAATGATCATTTCTCATAGTTAACCAAACCAATATTCACATTGAGGCTTCTAAACTTTCCTCAGAACTTGACACATAATTCAAAGAGTGAAGAAGAAAAGAAATTCATTGGGTCAAGAAGTAAACAGGAATCAGAAACAAAGTCCATATATCAAAATGAAAGGCATACAACTTAATGAATATCATGGTTTCATTTTATTCAGACATCGTCCGATCTGTCTTAAAATTCATCTCACTTTCACTCTTGAATCTTTACTTGTAACTGTGTTGGAATGTTGATTCTTTCATGAGTTGATGTGTGCTTTAACAAGAAAATTGAAAAAAAATCAACTTAAGTTTTGGATTAACAACTGGTAAGTTGCAAGCAATTAGGTATGTGAGTAGATTTTGTCAACATTCAACAGTGGATTATGAATTATATTGAAATTATCCACTGTCTCCCCTTCCAGATGATTTTCTTCAGGTCTATTTAAAAATACTATGAGGAACTTTCTAATTTTTCTATTTTCCTCAAGGAAATTCCCCATCTTCAACTCTGGGGCCCTTATTCGATTTTCTCCCATTGAAATTCTTGCTCTTCTCTTCAATTCTGGGGAACTTACCAGCTATGAATGAAGATGCTTATGCATGATCAGATAAGATGCATCATTGATGAATTTTTTTTTGTGATCAAAATCATGCTTGAGATATATTCTAGCTAGTTTTGGATAAAAGAAAAAACACTCAATTGGATCAGGATGGGTGAGAAATTCCATTTTCTGAGTCTTTTTGTGGTTGTGTGGGGTGTGGATTTGGCTCATGTGGGTTGAAGTTGGTCTGTGTGATTGGCCTAGAGCTTGGGTAGGCTCATTAAGGCCTTGACATCCTACGTTCCATGAATTGATCCCTACAGAGCCCACCTGATCAAGCCTGCTGGGCCCTTGTAGCCCCAAGCAAGAAGTGAGGCTGTGCGCAAATCTAGATTAACTAATACCCTCAACAGAGGGCCAGAGGCACATTGAAAAACAAGCCTTTGAAAGAGGGGCTTATGCATTAAGTCAAAATTTCAGCCTGGAAGCTGGTACATTTTGCCGCTTTTCTTGGGTATTTCACACTCAACCGCTCATTACTCCCACCTAATCCAACCAAACAGGTGGTGGAAACATTTTTCCAATAGGTGAGCATAAGACCTTGGTGTCCTTTTTTGATATTTTTTGGTAACACTTATCCATTCTCTGGATCAAAGGTTGGGGACTTGATTTGAGGTGAAAATGAGCTTACGGCATATTACATGGTACAACAAAGAATATTGAGGAAGGAACCAGTGGACCTTCATCAACCTTGAAGCAAAATGGCCTTTTGAAAGGCCAGTGGGGAAAATCTAGAGGGCCCTTGGACATGTGGGCAAGACAGAAAATTGCAGAAGAAGCAGACCCATTGGCTAGTCCAAATGGCTGATGAAAATATGATGAGGAAGAGGGGGCAACAGTCAGGGCAAACTTTTAACAACTTCCAGATTCCACACCAAAATTCAGACATTAGGTGCAAGTCCCTCCTTTGGATGCTTGCTTCACGCCAGCTTGCCTATATTCTGATCGAGGGACTTGGGTGCCCAAATGGGCTTGAAATGTTCACCGGATGGAGGCCTGGGGTGACCTTTCATTGCGGAGCTTTGCGCCGCGCACTGCTCATGGAGCACACTGATGCATACATGCATATTTACAAAGTTAAGAATTACACAAATTTTTTCTACCAGGATGAGCATTGCTGATCACTGCAGGCTGTACAAACTGACCCAACTGTCTTCCGCCAACTTCCAGCCTAGCTTAACACAATCCCCTCGTTCCAGAGGGACGGGGGAACCCCGGCGTGCCGGGGGCACCTCGCGAAGCGAGCCTCTGAAAGAGGGGCTTGCGAGTGAAGATAAAACATTGGCCTGGAAGCTCAGGCTTTTTGTGGCTTTTTTTTGCTCTTTTTTGTTCAATCACTCATTGCTCCGGACCCACCCGACCAATTGATTTGGCGTGAAGTTTCTCATATACCTGGGCATCTCATCAGCAATCCTGTTTCTTTTTTTTCTATACTTGTAGAAGTAAGGACTCCCTTCCTTGGATGGTAAATCCAGGAGTCGATTCAAGGTCCGGATCAGCTTGTCCCATAAAATGTGGTACAACTTATAATATTTGTCTTACAGTTTTCAGCTTGTTCAGTCTGTACAGGAATGATGAGTGCCACAAACTTGTTATGTAAGGGCTGTTATTTGCAATGAGAATTTATTGGCTGTTGGGCAAGATGAGTCGACACATAGATTTATCCTGAGGCATCTGCGAAATTGTGCTACATAGCTATATTCTGAAAAGCCTTCCTCAATCGCTTTCATCAATACTATCAACACCCTTCCTTATTCTTTATTTGAACAGATCACATAATGCAGCAGGCAACTATAGCCAAGCGTGTGCGCACTCCGACCGGTGTCAATCTATACAAAAAAATTCATGAAAAAACCGATGAGAAGCTGAAGGATTTCATCAAGCAGAGCTCGTTGGATACTTACAATCAGGAGGCCAAACCGTTGCAAGTCGAAGCCGTTTTCAACCTTGCGTGAGGCCGGAACACCTTTCTCTTGGCGGGTACTGGATTTGGGAAGTCGCGAATCTCCGAAATGTATTTCAAGATGATTCCAAAGTTGAAACGTCCAGTGGTGCTAGTATTAAACCCCCTCGACTCTTTGGGGGACAATCAAGTACTCGAAAAGACAAATGCTGGATTCACCGCGATCAACTTAACGAAGATGAACTTTAATCAGACCACGGCGAATCAATTGATGAACGGCGACTACAACTTTGTTTAACTGAGTCCCGAAGTCTTTCTCAACAGCAAGTCATTCGATCAGGTTTACTTCAGTACGACTTTTCAGAACCGGCTGGCAATGATTGTGGTCGACAAAGCTCATATGGTATATATATGGGGTCTAGTCGAGAGCTCGACATCAAAAACGATCCATTCAGTTCATCTCCGTATTGAAGATTACGCCTTGTTTAGGCCTTGCTACGGGAAGCTCGGGCCGCACTTACTTTTCCGAAACGAGAAACCAATCTTGTTACTGTCGGCAACGTGTCGTCCTGTGGCCGTGGATGGAATAAAGAAGAGTCTTAAACTGAACGATGATAATCTGCACATTTTGCGCGGGGAGCTCACACGGCCGGAAATTTGTATCATCCGGGTTGAAATGGATCATTCTCTTGCATCTACTCTGGACTTGCTCAGGATTTTTCCCTCGGCTAAGGACGTTCCAAATCATGCAATGGTGCCGACTTTGATCTACAGCAGCTCTCGCAATCGAACCCTGACCGCCATGGATGTTGTCGATCTGGCCCGAGAGACTCCCGGCAATGCGTTTTCTCCTCCCAGCACTTGCATCCGTCGATTTCACTCTTGCACGGGTGATCAGGATAAAGTTGATTGTGTGGAAGGTTTTGCTTCGGGTGTATTTCCTTTGATCTCTTGTACTATGGCCCTTGGCCTTGGTCAAAACTGGAAGCGAGTGCGGATGGTGGCTCACATGGGGAGGGGTGATCCGGCCTCTATCTGTCAAATGATTGGAAGATGTGGGAGGGACGGTCGACCTGGGCTCGCTGTGATGTTTGTTGAGAAGACTCGCCGAAACGGAAAGAACTCAGTTGAACAGTTCTCCCAAGGTGGGGTCCAATCAGATCAGGATCGGATGGATGCGCTTGCTATCACGCCGGTGTGTCTACGCATTGCATTTTCTATTGATAACTTGTGGGTTTTTTTCAGCTGGTTTGATTTTTTAAATACAAGCGGGGTTAATCTAATGGATTTTATGTTGCAGGCTTGGCTACATCCCACTATCGGTGGATGACCCTGCGTACATCTGTGAGAAAAATTGAGAGATTGAGGCCCAGATGTGCGACTGTCTGTGTTCAAATTGCGCTCGCTCGGAGGCAGCAATATTACTAGACAACCTTGTATTTGCAAATCAAGACAACTTCGATGATATCATAGGCGATAAATTTCAAACAACAGAGACCCGAGATATCCGCCTCAAATACCCTGCAAAGCCATCGTTGTTCAGGAAGCGCAAAATTCCTGATTCTGATAGACCCGTCTTGGAGGCTTTTAAGATTCAACTCATTGCCGACTTGCATAATTACTATCAGCTCACTTTCGGCTCGGAAGGTCCTCTCGCCCCGGCTGATATCTTTGGAGATGAGGAAGCGGAATCAATAATCTCTTACTCGCATCACATAAACAACACAAACGATGTTAGGACGGTCATAGGTGGGGAATGTTTTGAAGGTCAACTCAATTGGCTTTTAGATCAGATCACTATCTTCAAAACATCGCGCGAGGGTAACGACCATCCGATCTCACATAAGAAGCGTAGGGCAGTGTCTGGATCAGCTGCGATCACGTCTCTACCTTCCCAACCTTCAGTTGGCTCGTCAAGGAACCGATGTGCATCTGCAACGAGTGCTCCTAGGCCCCCATCAAAGAAGGTCCTCGCGGCTGAGGCGAGGCGTCAGAAATCGAACGAGAAGAAGGCTCAAGATGCTTTATGGTTGCTTTCAGAACAAAAGCGCAAGGAACAGGTGGCGACATTTCTTAGGGAGGGTCTAGAGAAAGCGCATAAGGAAAAAGAAGGAACAACAAAAGATGCATAAGGTAAACATAAGGCCCATTAGCTTCCAGATTTGATACAACTTTTAAGCTAATATATGTGCTACATGTCCAACGAGCTAGCATCATCCTCATCACTCCCGGCGGCATCATCTTCCTCGCGAGTTAAATGACCATGAAGTAGTGTGTGTTTCTTGAATTTGTTTAGTTGATGGTCCTTCGTTCGGATGGTCTTCTTCATTTTTGCAAACCCAGTGAGAAATGTGTTATCAATGCGGTTGATTAGCCCCTTGTGCAAGTTGGGTGATTGGTTCAATATGTCCCGATTGTTAGCCATCTGCATGAACATGCTGATGGATCAATGAGTCAGCTGAATTTTGTGCGACTGATGAACGACAGTTGCCCCACAATCGACTTTGAGTGATTGGAACATTCCCTGCAACTGTGGACATGCACATTATAGAACGAGATGTTGTGAGGAGATGTCAATCACTGTGCACGGATTTTTCTATGAGATCATGATAGACTTACCACTCCGATGTTGACCGAAAAGAGGTCTCGGAGCCGGTCAATCTTAGTACCATTTCCGGTGTGGTTGTAGACATACTTTAGCCAGTAGTTCTGGCATTCAAGCCATTGGTCTTTTCCGACAAAGTGATTTGGTCGACCGGTAGGTGACATTAACAGATTGTGGCTGAGGTATTTCCGAAGGTCTGGTGAGAGGACCTCAGTTAACAACAGGACCAATCGAGGGAGGTAAGATGAGTAGTTTGTCAGGCCTTTAAGCCCCTGAGTCATTAGGTACCACTTCTTCCAGACATTGATTAGGCGGCCGATATCACCAGCCTTCATAGATCTCTTTGCTTCCACAACCGAGGAGAAATCATGTAACATAATCAAAGTGTTGTTTAGTTTTGGGTCGGATTGTTGGGCAGCATCCCGACGAGCTTCAAGTGAGCAAAACCGGCGATAGCACTGGTTGACTATTTCATTCCATTGTTCAGTTGGCAGAGTTACTAGTTTTTCACCTATATTTTCAAACTGGTTCTTCAATACCACACTGGGGAAACATTGCAGTATTAGTATTAGGTCAGAACACTTATGATGCGAATTGGCAAGAGACTGACCGCAAACAGTAGTACAAGGTTGCCTCCATCACTTTTTCCATCTGATTGATCATCAGGGTAAAATCTTTCTTCTGAATTGCTTTATCCGATGGGAATCCCAAAGCTTCCAAGAACTGCCAAGCGCCACAGTTAGACTGATCGGTTGGGTCGCCAAAGTTATGAGTGAATATAGTCGATGCGACATTCCATAAGGTGTGAGAAGCCCCAAGCTGGAAGACTATATTATTCAGGCTTTCCTTGCCATAAGGGCTTGGCAATCGCTGCAACCTGAGGCTGTTAAAATTCTGAATGGTCCCCAAGTCACCGTCCATCGGCTGGAGACGCCCATAGAACTCCTGGTCGGACAATCCTGATTGAAGAAGGATAGTAGAAAACACTTGACCGATGCTCTCGGCCGAGTTATCTGAGACATCCATCAGCTTCAGCATGTGTATGGTTGGTTTCTTGTGGCTGATTTGATCGATTGTCTCAGGCTTTGTCGGTATTGACGAGGATCTGTCTGATGGGACAGCCAGGTGCTCCATTAGGACTTTAGCAATCTGGCTCTTCCAGACTTGCTCCTCACTAATCTTGGCCTTCATTGTGGGCATGAAGTGGAGAGGCTCGATCGAGAAAGACTTCATTTTTCGTAATGAATCCTGATAGGAGGCTAAGGTGAGCTCTTCAAGATTGAGTGAGCGTAGGAGAGATTGATTGGGCACATGGATGTACCCCCAGGTGCCGCGAAACGTATTGGAACGCCTACCAACCGATATATCATGGACACGCTGTTCCATGTCAATGTTATCAATGCAGATGGTCGGTGCAATGGGGCAGCTACTGTGGCATGCCATCACCTTCTTGATGACCGCTTGCCCTTGAAGAGACAAAGACCTCAATGCACTTAATGCTGTCTTTCGTAGAGATCGTTTGCCCGTACTTTTTGCAGGTACCTGGTACCTCCTGGGGGGTACCCCTCGCACCCGCCCCGCACCCTCCAGGAGGTGCCAGGTGCGGTACTTGGTACCTATTTTTGTGAAAAATTGAACAGGTACCTAGGTACCTCTACAGGTACCCCCTCACTTCCCTACCAAAAATCAAAATGATGGTGGCCTTCTACTCCAAGAACTCCAAGATCCAAGAAGTTACCTTGGCTGCATGGAAACAGGGACTCAGGGATAACAAGAAGTCTAACAAAAAATCAAAAAGGAAGGTGATGGTTTTGGATGACAATGAAGATTCTTCCAATTAGTTATAAGTTGTAGATAGTTTCAACTTTTCAATAAATTATTAAATATGAACAATTGAAAAAAGTGATCTGGGACTGATGTTTTACAATAAATATGAAAAAAATAGAAAAGTAAGATTCTTCCAATTAGATGTAGATATATTACAACAGATATTAAAAAATGCCAAAAAAGTGACTTGTGAGTGATATTTTACAATAAATATGAAAAAATAATAATAATAATAAAGTGACTTGAGACTCTGGGAGTGAAACTAGGTGAAAAAGAGAGGGGGGGGTACCTGAGGTACCTGCAATGGGTACCTTGGGTACCCCCCGGGAGGTGTCTGGTGTGGTACATGGTATCTATTTTCTTGAAAAAATGAACAGGTACCTAGGTATAAACAGGTACCCAGGTCCGAACAAACAATCTCTAGTCTTTCGAGAAGATGATAAACCAAGATAATTCAGATATTCCTGGACACGCTCGGAGACACCACAGGCTGTGAAGCGAACAGAATTGTTCAGCTGTAACGCATTGTGCCTGCGATTGTGTGCAAAGGCAACCATAGAACAAATAGTTGTGGCAATCTGAAACGTGGATTATAAGGTCATCAAAGATGTGGTAGACTTTCAAAAGCACAAATGAGAGTTGAACTTACCCGAGAAAAACAAGCCTTGACCCGCTCCTGGCCAGAGAGTGCATGATGGAATGTAACTTCACCAAATTCATCCGGGGTGCAATGATCTTCATCCGATGACAAGGCATCATCCGATTCATCATCATCTTCTAAATCGTTGCTTGCAAGACCACGGGCCTGGAGCATCCCATTAATTAGACCGTACAAGAACGGTGTATGCTCCTCAACCATAACCTTTTCAAGGCTTTGTTGCGTTTCAGGCAAGAAGAATGATTCCTTGACAGTCACCGAGCTGTGGAAGGAGCCATTTGGATGATATCCTCTCGGGGCCTCTTGTGACACAAGGATGTCTACCGCCTACGAATTCACACCTAGATCAACAACTGAGCACGAGAGCATAAGAATAAGATACATGTTTATCACCTGTTTCTGAATAAATCCAGACCACTCCTCGCGACCACCCTCTGACCGGAGAATTTCATCACGAAGAAGGCTAAGTAACTGCATGGTGGACCCCAGGCCCCTTGGTGTTGCCCAAAGGCGGCGTAAGTATGCTATTTCCGAATTATTGGAATCCAGAAAAATCTGCAAGAAGCGCTTGGGAGTAATCTTTGCAGGGGTAGAGTTAAGCAGCTTGCATACGGCAAGCACTTTTTGGGTTTCAGCAGGGAATTCCATGGCTATACTAGTGGATAATAAAATCTTAAAGTCTTGACAACCAGGTTGATCTTGATGCTGTTTATATCTGGCTAATACCTATGAGGGATGAGACTGAACAAAGGTGAGGTTGAGGAAAAGTCGGCCACCATCCTACTCCCGTCCAGGTGTCTTATAGACAAAAAGTTGCCAATGACTGCAATCCCAGATCAGTATCGGACATGTCTTGCCCTCATGATCCCGACTTGTCCGAATGTTAAGTCTCAGGAAGGCCTTGTCCTGATGTCATGTCTCATGATAAGGCCTTGTCCTGATGTTACGTCTCATGATAACACCTTGACCTGAGATTATATCAGTTCAAGGTGTTATCATCATCTACACTACATATACAGATCACACATAAACCCATGAAACAATACAGAACCCGATGGTCGGAAGACATCAGAAGTATGTGGAAAGGACCTCGGGGGGCATCTTAAAACAGGTTGCCAAATGGATCTTTTCAAGGGCCGGAGGAGGTTCAGTGGGAAGGCCCCCGGGCCAGGACCCCGGCAAGTCCCTGTCAAACCGACTCATGTAGCATGTATCCAAATGGGTTTTTTTTGCAAAATGCGCCTCATGAAATTCATCGGATATGTATCGGATTTGCCTTCTTTTTGGCAAATGGTCCTCATGAACCTAGAATCTTTTTGGGGTATTCCCACCAAAAAGCGCATTTTTTTTAGCTACAGCAGGCTATGAACTGCAAGGGGCAGTGATTTTGGATGTCTCTCAATTTTTTTGAGCTACCATGCTTGCAATCATCCTCATGTAGGACGTATCTAAATGAAGTTTTGATTAGAAAAAACAGATTTCTCTATGTATCCAAAACCCAAATTTCCTGGGAATTACATGAGTCGGTTTGACCGGCACTTGCCGGGGTCCTCCCGGGCCTGTGTGAAGCACGGCAAAAAAGAGAAGACATCGGGCTTTCCATTGGTCAAACCGGCGGAACATATTTCCGCTGGGAAGATGTCCGCAAAGCCCGGGACATGTTTTTCCCACCTAAAGGCACCCAGCTTCCACACCAATTCCGACAGTTAGCTCGCAAGTCCCTCCTTCGGAGGCTCGCTTCGCGAGGGGCGCTTGCGCCCGCCTGGTACAGGCCCTCCGATCGAGGGACTTGGGTTAAGTTAGACTTCCAGCTCTCTTCAAATTCCACATATTCTTTCAGTGGCGGTTCATACACAGGCTCTGCGGGCAGCCAGTCTGCAACCAAACGACGTGCGTATGTATTCATTAGTAATCCCCCCCTTGACTTCATTCACCAGCTGTTCAACTTTTGGAAGCAGAGCTTAATTTCCCATGATGCCGCTCGATTTAGGATAGCAATGCCTAACATCTTGGATCTCCCGTGGCACGTGTTCGAGGTCATCTACAAAAATCTCACCAAAGATGGCGATTTCTCCTGGCCAATGTTCTCCAATCAACCCCAGAGCGCTCCCGGCACAAGGAGCACGACGGGAAAGTTGAGACTGGTCTGTCGTCAATGGGCAGATTGGCTATATGTACATCATCTTTATCGCACGATGACCTTCGAAAGTGCTTCCCGAGCGATGCGTTTCATCGTCAACCAAATCACCAGGCGTTCAAAGAGCCTTCCGCGTGCTAGATGTCAACACCTGCAGGTCCTCGGCATCCTAACTTGGGGCCCTGCACCACCTCATCAAGGATCACAACGCTCAAGCGGATTCTCTCTAGCATCGCGCAGGAAACCCGAAGATACGATCACTTTCGAAATCTTGGAAGCCCTAGTCGAGCTGTTCTCCGACACGATCGTCGAGCTCAATCTGCGGTTTTGGAACGTAATGTCGCTTCCACCACGAACGATCGGGACGATAGGGCGAATCGAGAACCTGCGCGCCTTGAGACTCGGCCACGAGTTACCAGAAGTGGCTCCAGCTGCACCCCAGCCAAGGCTCTTTCCGCTTTACCACGATAGTGATGACGAGGACATTGAAGAAGCAATACTCCAGCATAATGCGCGACTCGACATGGACGAAATGTTTGGCGGTGGTGACCGACCTCCAACGGACATGGATCCTGTCAAGTCCAAAATCGATTCTGATTGTTTCAAGTCGTTGATACTAGCCACTCGAAAGTTGCAATCACTCGATATAACTGATTTGGATCCAATTTGTCTACCCAAGCCGATTAAATCCACGCTCTGTAGCCACCATGTCCCGACAATCACTCAACTCGAAGTTAGCCTAGAGGGACAGAGTCTATCTAGACTCATAGATCTTTCTATTATGCTCAAAGGCACTTTGAACGTGCTTTCCCTACAGGATCGCTGGCAAGGCAATCACAGTCGAAACCTTGTACCCGTGTTTGAAAACCTCAGAGAAAATCTTGAAGGCCTCTTTGTTACTGACGAAAAGATCCTGAAACCGGTGATGAAACTCAAATTTCCGAAATTACGTGTCTTCAAAACGATCTTCTGGGATGGCCATATTTCTAACCTTTTGGAGAAGCCAATGATAGCCTCCTCCCCCATCGAGGTTCTTGCCCTTCAATCAGAGGTCGTCGATCGTAAACCGAAAGGAAAATTCCGCGTCAATCCGTTTTTGAACCTGCCCACTTTGAGACGACTAGTATTCTGTGAAGTTCGTCCTGGTTATTCGCCCCCTCCAGCATACATCAAGGCTTGTAATGCTCGTCGCGTGAAATGCGTTTATCTGAGCCCCAGTGATAGCGAGGATGTGTCTTTGATCATGGTCAGTGGATTCAGAGCTCTTTCACATTTTCTGCCACGGAGACACTCGCTCCAAAGACGGCTTGCTTACCATGTTGCTCTTTTCAAATGCAGAAATTATGAATTGAATATCTTGCGTGTTATTTGGTAGCAACGTGGGATTCCATCTGCCGCTAGATGAGACGTCAAATCAAGTATATCGTCCTCCAAAAAGCAAGACCGATGTCTATCTATTGAATGTACATCTGCTATTTACCTATTTACCCGTCAAAAAAAAAAAACTGATGCCCGTCTATTGAATGCACATCTGTTTTACCATTTACCATCCCCCGCTTTCCTCTACGCATTCAAAAAGAAAACAAACTGTTGTAAAGTTTAGCCAAAAGACATGAAGAAGAATATGAATTTTGCATGTCGCAATAAAACAAACACTACATAGCCGATTAGTTGTACCCTGTTCACGTTCTTCATACTGATCAAGAATAATATTTTCATGCATTGTCTATTGTCCACAAGTTGTGGACCACAGAAAGAATGTTTAGATGCTATGGAAGTATGAAAACCTTCCCAATACTGCTACAAAGTAGCCTGATGAGTGATGACCCCTTGTTTGGTGCCCTTTAAGTATTCAAGAAAAATATCTAAAGCAGAACAAGTCATAACTCTCTCAATAATTACTGATCATCAAGCTTCCCTGGTTACTACACGGCAGTTGCGGGACGCTGGCAAAAAAGCCCGAAGTTCGGTCGTCAAATTGCCGGACCTCGCCCACCAGGCCCCGACCGTTCGCGAACGGACCTCCGGTCAGCCGGCAAACACACCGTCGAAGTGGCGATAGCCTCGCCAGCATGAACTCAGGCGAGCTTCTGGCAAAACTTGGGTCCACTTGCCGGACGCGGCAATAAGCCGTCGAACCCGGGCCTCCCCAGCCTCGCGGTTGGGGCAGTTTGACCTACTCCTGACAGCAATCTGTCGGCAGCTTGCCAGTCAAACACCACACCCCGAACCTCGATATCGACGGCTGATACCCCCGATTGCCAGAAGCTCGATTGCTCGATTCCTTCCAGTTTCACCTCTCGCGCTTCAAGCACCTCAGGGGGACTCGGTCATTGTTTGTTTGGCAGGCACCAGGCCCTTTTTTTGTATTTTTATTGCATTTTACAGTTTTTTTGTATCGGTTTAGTTTTTTCTAGTTTTTTTTTCGTTTTTTTTTCGTTTTTTTTGTTTTTTTTTTTTTTTTTTTTTTTTTTTTTTTTGTTTGTTTTCTAACAACATTTCATGATCTGTCTAGAGTAAAGATAGAAGACGTAGAGAAGAAAGACACAGGAGAGAGACAAAGAAGAGAGACAGAGGGAAGAACGACAAGAAAAGAGGTGTCAGAAGGCTATGCGGCAAGCGCAATCTCTCTCTCCAGGAGGTTGCCTAGTGCTTCATTGGAAGGCTCGGGCCCCAGCTCTGCAACAATAGCTCGGACTTCGATGTCGCTCTCGAGTGCGTTGGGCAATCGGATCATCTCTAAGGGGACATCTGAAAACATGATATCCCCAGGGAACAGTTCTCGATCCCTTCGCAAGATGAGAATAGAATGCCTGGATAAGCGAGTCATCAAGGTTAGTGTTCCTTGCATGAGTGAGTGAAAATAAAGACAAGGCACTTACGCTTGCAATTCAATATGCGACTTTTCCCTGATTGCTTCTAAGTGGTCATCGATCAGGTCCCATTGTGACCGGGTGTCCCCGGGCGCTCGATGTACAAGATGGTGAATGGTGAGCAATCGTAGCATTGCCGTGCGGACCCGTACTCCGGAGATAAGTGTGGCTTGGATGTCGTCTAAGGTTCGCAAGGCATTCCTTGGTTGGAATGCTCGGTCGATCAGAACAAGAAGGTCGAAGAGCTTGGGGACAGGCCCCAGCTCGCGTACTCGAGGCTCCTGACGCACATTTGTCAGAAGCTGTGGTTGGGAGTGGTAGGAGGAGTAGGATGAAAAGAATCAAAGTAAAGCAAAAAATCAACTCGAATCTGTTGAAGATTTATGATTGATCGATTGATCAATCAATCATTCAATCAATCAATGAGACACATAGTGACATACCAAGTTACGCAAGTGAGTTCGTTCGTGCTTGACCATGGCTCAGAGAAAGGTAACTAAGCTGGCCATTGATTTGTGGTTGTTCGGAATTCCGGGTGGTAGATATTGCCTCTTGAAGGCTGGGGTCTGCCCAAGGATGAATTGCTAAAATGTGCTTGGTTATCAATAATGGTAAGAATATGTATCGAATCCTGGACGACTTACTTTAATCAGTGGGAGAGGAGAATGGACAAAAAGGTGCCCATGGACCGATTGGGCCCGGCTATATGATTCCAACGAGGTTTGCATCAGGATTTCCCTGATCATTTGACGAACGCGTGTCTGGTTGTTGTAAGGCATGCATTAGCAAGTTCAAAAACCAAATGAATGACGTAGTTAGTGACTTACCCTGACTACGGTTCCGTACACATGCGGTGCTGGTCCATTGACTGGAACTGCGGTTGGGTTGGGGGGAATGGCTGGACGTATCCTCATCCACATGACAACTGACAGGCACCATTGGCTTGTTTCGGATGCCTAACGAATACTATGTCAGAAGGTTCCTGGGGCCAGAATATTAAGAATATGAAAATCTCACGTTGAAGAGCTGGCGGGCCAACTGCAAATCAGCATGAGAAAGCTGTGACGAGGCAAGTAGCGCCTCCACAAGAGGATCGGCAGGAGATATTTGTCGAGGTGGAGGAGGGGCGGTGGTTGCAGATGTGTGAGGGGCCAACTGACCTACAGCTGAAGCTGGGGGTGGGGGAGAGACATTGGACATCTCGGTAGGTTGGTGGACAGCAACAGGTGGGGGTGGTCGGATGAATCCATCCAAGTCGCCAGATGTGCTATCTTCATCCTCTGAGTCTTGCAGCTGTGGCTCCTCATCGTCATTGTTGAAGATCGGGTCAATTGGGACAATGGGGGGTAAAGGGCTGTCTGCGATTATGCGACTGGGGGTGATACTAGGGGGATGACTGGGGGCTGATAAAAATTTAAACATCAGTATTTGTGCCAGAAAAGAAAGAGGGTGGAGCAATGTTTGGACATACCCGTTAGAACTCAAGAGCCGCTGTGATGTAAGATTCGTGTGGGGGTGATAGTCGGTGCAGAACCAAGAGGGGGGATTCTTTGACGAGCCACAACAATACCCGGTTGAGCACTCTCTGCTACCAAACAGAGTGTATTTATCAGCAAGCAATATGACAAGTAGAAAGAAAAATGTACAAACCTGTAGGGCTGCTGGTTCCTTGGTCCGAATCGGAAATGATTCGACTGGGGGTAATGGTGGCCGGACGAGAGTTATGATCATGCGCTGCGGTCTTGGTGTCAGTTTTGGACATTGCAAGACAATAGAAAGAAATACAGAAAGGCACAAACCTGCAGGGATTACTCGGGGTGTCCGCACAACTCCCTGGGTTGCTGGTCGACGTGGTCGCTTTGCACGAGGCTCGGCAGCTGTCGGTGGGGCTCTGAGCTCCCCTGCTTCAATGATCTGAGGGGCTGGGTTTGATACACTTGCTGCGGGTTGCATGTTTTGTAGTGAGTTTTGGTGGCTTGCTGGTAAGAGATTTAGTTGATGACGAGATTGATGTAACAGATGGAAGTAAGTATTGTTGTAACATATTGAAAATTAATACATGTCTTACCTTTTGACACTGATGCTATAGGGGCTGTATGATCTAGGGGATCAATTTAAATCGGAAAGAGCCGCTGGATGTGGATGGGGGAAGAGGTCGAGGTGGTTTCAGTTCCTGCCTTTTATGTCTCTGTCTCCTCACTGGTTCCACAAGCTGTCCCAAGTGGTTCCGTCATTTAAGGATCCCGATCATTCTGGTCGTTTGCTGGATTTGATTTGTTTTCATTCCATTTGATTATTCCTCCAATTTTGTTTGGGCCTAAGGCTTCCGGTACAGCTCTGTCAACGGTCAAACTTGCTGTTGTAATGAATAGGAGGGCAGAGGTGCGAGTTGACAGAAGAGGTATATTTGGTCCTGCATTCTCATAATTTGATCTAAACTGGAATCCATTGCTCACCTGGATTGAAAATGTAAACCATTTCAGTTTTTGCTCCAACTGAAAATTCCGATATCCGACTTAAATGGATTTGCAGGTTCTGCGGTGGTCGGCCAATGCTGTCCACAGAGGCTCATTCAAAGCTGGCATCACATATATCCAATTTGCCTGAGCATTTGCGGACGGGTTACAGTCAATCAGAAGTCGAGGGTAATGAACGGGTGATTGAAGGTCAAATTGACCAAGCTGGGATAGTCGAGGACCTAGACCATGCATCCCGTGATATTGAACCTGTGGATGTCGAAATGGAGGATTCATACGATCAGTTCAACAAGCATAATGAAATGTATCAGGGAAGAGGGTCGAATGGTGGTGAAAATGCGCCAGTTGAATGCAGCGATGACGAATCATTGGATATGCGTGAGGTTATTGATATCTTCCACCCACAGGATCTGGTTGATGACGATGACGAAGATCAGTATCGTGAAGAAGAGGGGGAGGAGGAAAATGAAGATCAAGGGTGGTTCCCCTTTTCAAGCAAGGTGGTGAGCATTTGAAGAGGTTCTCTTGGAAACCCGTTGCAGTGGGGGTCACTCTGGCTAACAGGGGGTCTTTTTTTTTCTGTGACCCAGCAACTTGTTGCAATGCTCTTGACCGGTTACATGCATAACATCATGTCACGAGTGCAATATGACAGGGTGCGCATACTCATTGGGGTAATTGGAACAGAAGTGCACCATTGGACTTCCATCTGGAGGGCTAAGGCCAGGCTGAGGGCCATGCTACATATGGAACCCAATAGAAGAGAAAGTGTTTTTAGAAACAAATGCTATGCCCTAAGCCTGCAAAAAACCATTGCACTGGTGAGTTTCAGTTCACAATCATAATCTACTACCAAATCAGTCATCTTTATTTTTATGTATGCTTCATGTGTTATTTTTAGGATGTTGCCAACCCATATGTCAACCCTCACCTGGATTACTACCCTGTGGACTCAGGGGGGATGGACATTTACAAATTTTCCCAAAGCTTCAAGTGGCGAGAGGGCCTTACTCGGGACCTTCGTGCACAAATGGTGTCTGTCCGCAAGAAACACTTCTACATTTATGAACCATGTCAATTGGTTTCAGGGACATTAGTAATCCCTGTATTCTTTTATTCACATATGGGAAAAATGTTTGCAAGATGTATCAAACCAACAACCCAGGGGAGGCCTCATGAACAGGATTTCAAGATCATCATTCCTAAAAATCTTCAATACTGTTCCCCACAGTTGACCTCAGTAGATTGTGAACAATTTTCTTTGATCTATTCAGAAATATGCTTCTGGGGTGACAGAACATTGTCTAGTGTGTGCTGTAACACTATATGGGGTGAGTTGGTGAAAGGACCATGGCAGTGCTTCTTAGTTTAAAATTACTGATTTCATTGTTGTATTTTGTTAGAGGGGCACACAGGATCTCTTTCTGCCATAGACTTGCCAAATCCATGGAGAATTAAGGCAAAGGGGCGTATAATTCGACATGTTCCCATTGTTTTGTATTGTGATGATACATCTGGGAATGTTTCTAAAAAGTGGAATAAGCACATCAGTTACTACTATACCCTTGCAGGCCTTCCCCCAAAGCTGTCCAATCAACAATATAATTGTCACTTTCTTTCAACATCAAACACTGCTGGGGCATTGGAATTAGCAGACCAAATAGTTGATGAGCTGAAGTAAGATAATGTGGCACATTCTGAGGCATAGAGATTCAATTTGTATACTCACAATTACCTCCTTCCCCCAGTGATCTGGCCAGAAATGGATTTACAGCCTTTGACTATGGTTTACAAGAAGAGGTTCTTGTAAATACTGTGGTTCTGTGTTTTCTGGGGGACTCCCCTATGCACGCCGAGGTAACTAATACACCTATGCCTGGGTCCTCGTTGAACCCATGCCGTATATGCCATTTGGGAGTTAACAAGCGTTCTGACAAATCAGAAGAAGACTATATTTATCAGTTCTTGGGAATGGATTCAGCTGGAAACAGGGTATGAATTTAATTTTTTCTTCTTGCATGACAGTTTAGTAATCGTCCTCCATATTTCACAGGATGTGGTAGACTATAGAGATTGGAATGAGACAATTGAACGCACTCATCAATTGTGGGATACTGCTGTAAAGTATACCAAGGATGATTATACCACTGACTCCAAACTTTTGGGTGTACAAGATTCCATCAACAAGAGTTTTGTGGATATCCTTAAAGGTAGAGGACGAAAAGATGAGGTTGGGAAGATCATGGCAATATCTGAAAAACAGCATGACAAACTTTTCAATCCATTTCTGAGACTTCTGGGTGAGACTTCAACTCTATGTATTCCAGCTGTCATGACTAAATTTTAACCTCATAAATCTTCATCCCAGGTTTTGATGGGTGCCATGACACCCCTGTAGAGATTCTTCATGTCATATTATTGGGGGTAATAAAATACATCAGCATTGATTTCCTCAGTAACACCATCAAACCAAGGCACGTAAATGACCTCCTTGGATCATGGCAATCATTTAACACCAATGCTCTTAACCTGCCGGGTTTAAATGCCGAATACTTGTATAAACATCACAAAAGCATGGTTGGGAAGGATTACAAGATTGTTCTTCAATGTGCCCCTTTTGTTTTCTTTCAGTTTATGGATGAACAACAGAGGAAGTTATGGCAAGCCATGTGCAAGTTAGCCCCCTATATATTCCAGACACACATTTCCAACATGCAAATTTACCTCAAAGAATTGGAGATATTGGTGGACCACTTATTATTAGAACTGATGAACAGTTCAGCAAGATGGGTGAATAAGCCAAAATTTCACATGCATCATACACCTTGCACACTCTATTAAAAGAT